CTGGGTGTCCAAGGCACTGGTGGCCTGCAGGGAAACCCCATGGAAAGCAAAGTCGGGTGAACCCAAAAAGAGAAACCGCCAAATCACAAGCTGGAAACCAACACGCCTCAATGTCATATATATATATATGTATACATATATATATATATATTCAGATGAATATATATATATATATATAGTCATATATATATATATATATATATTAATACTAGTAATAATAACAAGGATAGTCATGATGATGATGATGATGATGATGATGATGATGATGATGATGATGATAAGAATAATGAGGATGATACATGATGATAATGATAATGCTAATAATAATAAATGATGATGATAATAATAGTAACAATAATAATAACAACAAATTATAGAGGCGGCCAGTGCACCCATAGGCCCCGCGACTTAAAATCACTCCGAGCAGCGTGCACGGCTCCCTGACACATTGATCCCTCGCTTGGAAAAAATGTTTCAAGCAATCTGTGGGCCACTTTCAATCGGCTAGGGGGTTCATTGATTTGGAACGTCGAGTCTTGTCAGGAAGCCTAGGTCGTTCGGCTCACTGTGGAACCGGTTCATATGACCCTACGGCCCAAATTGAGAAAGGCGATCGCGGTGCGAAGATTTCTCGAAAATACTGTATCGAACAGCAAGCCACCCAAAATGTTCCTGTCTGATGTGGCGGGGAGGGAGCCGGAGGCAGCAAACCCCTAATGCTTGAGCACCCTTTGCAGGAACCCATGGGAACAATCACCCGCGCTGAAGTACTCAGTGACAAATCCCGCAACCTCGTTGCTGAATCGGGTTAAAAGATGTTGAATTGCAGCTACTGTAAAATTGCTCAATCAATCAGCAGTTGCTGCATCGGATTGCAGATCCCCTGCTAAACGTGGACAACTCTTAGTGAGTTGAATGGAAACCCAACGACTAAACCCGCAAAAAACCTAAAAAAAGAAAAGGACCCGGATGGCTGGGGATCCATTTCTCAGCTGCCCCAAGGACCTGGAAACAAAGGAGATCACCTTCTGAAAACATGACGAAAAATGGACCAAATAAGGAACCCAAAAGCAAAAACACAGTCGATTCGCTTCGGGCAAGTGAGATGGCTGTCCTCGGATCCCCTGCTAAAGTCAACAACATTTAGAAATTTGAACATGGACAGCCGAGCACTAAACCAACTAAACACCCATAAAACAAAGCTAAGGGTAACCGGATGCCCGGGCCTCGGCCGCCAAGTGTTTCGACTCCATAAAAACCGCGCCTCGTCCAGCAGCATCACCTTGGGATCCCGGATCAGCGCGCGGCAGATGGCCACCCGCTGCTTCTGGCCGCCGCTGAGGCGGCTTCCCCGCGGGCCCACCTCCGTGGCAAGGCCTGGGCGAGGCTGCGAGGGGGATGGAGCGAGAGAGACGACTCACTGGCCGAGTGGATGACCCAAAAAGGTCCAGGAACTTGAGATTTACCGCCAAAATGGTCCAAACCCAACAAGTTTAAAGGAAATTGAACTCAGGAAGTGAGACTTGGAGCTTCATTTGTTTATTTCTGCGACGAATGTGTGTCAATTAAGATTGGTGATAACGAGTACGATTTGTTTGCTTGATACGAACAGGTGTTCTTGTTATATAAAGAACATATATTAACGATTTGAGACGCGACCCTCAAAGGCTGGATTCCTTCCAAAGTCACATTTCAGCCGTAAGGATATTAGCAGCTCAAGGCTTGGTTGCTGCAGTTGACCCCTCTGCAAACAGTTTTCGACTTTTGGTGGGTCCAATGGGGAAACCCACTGTTTCAACCAAAAAGTCATTCACTCCAAAGATCCAATACCAACTAGCGATCAAGAAGGGCTCCCTCGTGACAGAGGACCACCAACGGGTCACAAGACGCTTACACTCACTTCCTGAGTGGACTGGCCAGAAAAAGTCTAAACTTTCTGCCTGCCGCTAAAATGGTCTTCCCAAAAAGCTTAAAGTTCAGGAACTCAGGAAGTGAGTTACAAGAAGAAGGGGTGAAATGACGCGGAGCGCTGATGGGACCGGGCTATGAACCAAGTCTTGATCGGCAGAGGCAATTGCCGGAGAAGGGCAGCAAGTGCAGAGAATAGGAGCACTTATGCTAAGAACAAATGAGAACAGGCCAAGAGGCCAAGTGCAATTGAGCAACTGGGAATCCAACGAAATGACAGGTGCTAAGTTTGACAATACAACTAGCAATCCGTTGGCAGGATCTGGTCACATAAACGAAGCGGACAAACAAAGAAAGAAAGAAACGCTTTCAGAAAGAAAAAACAAAAGAGAGAAAAGGAGCGAAGGAAGGATGAAAAGGAAGGAAGAAATGAAGAAAAAAAGAAATGAGGAAAGGAAGAAAGGACCAAAGGGAAAAAGTAAGAAATTAAAAAGGAAGAACTGAAAAAGCAAGAAAGGATGAAATGAAGAAAGGAAGAAATTCAAAAAGGAAGAACGGAAGAACGAAAGAAGGAAAAGAAGAACGAACGCACCAACGAAAGAAAGAAGGAAAGAAAGAAAGACATAAAAAAGACAGAAAGAAATACAGAGGAGTAGCAGTGTTTATTACTTTAACTTTGCATTGACGTATCACACCCTTCCGCGACTGCGAAGCTTCCGCTGCGAGTGATGGGTCCCTTCCACGAGCATGTTTCTCTATAAGTTTATATAAGTGCTTCCGCGGGCCTTCTGCGGGCCTTCTACGGACAAGTTACTTCTGGAAACTGAGGAAGGTAGATTGCGCGAGGGAATTCGTGTGCACGGTTTGCTAGTAAACGTGCTTAGCAACAATCACCCAAACCAAATCAAAAACGTCCCTTCCGCAAGCTTCCGGAAAAAAAAACTTCCGCAAACCTTCCGCGAATCTTCCGCGCTGCCTTTCTTGTTGATATGTCAACATCTATACATGTTTGCTTGAGCGGGGGAAGAAAAAAAACACCACTCAAAGACAGAGAAATGATAGGAATAACTCAAGACCCCAAAAAAAAAACAAGCAGAGAACAAAGTAAAAAGGGAATAAGACAAGAAATACAGACAGAACGGTGAATAAAGAAAAACAAATAAAGAAGCAAGGAAATGAATAAACAACGACATAACTAAGATAGTTGACAAACTCAGACCGCGCATTGTATAAGAGCGATGGCCTAAGTTCGCTCACCAAAAAGTGTGTCTTCATTGCGTGATGGTTCTGCCTCCATTTCTGTCTTGAAACCCTTGCATTGCATCCTTGGGCTGGGCCGAGCCTTGGTTCTGGTTCTTGTAGAGGAAGCCGAGGTTGCACATCTTCTCGCATTTCTTGATGTACTCTTCAGTGACGGTCTCATTCTCATCCAAGCCATAGAGGATGTTGTTCCGCACGCTTGTGTTGAACAGGATTGGCTCTTGTCCCACAAAGCCTCGGATAAGGCTCGCGCCCACAGAAACAGCAAAGGGGCCACATGACTTCAAGCATTTCTCACATCTTTTCCAGCCTCACACCAAAGCCACGCGAAATGTCACAATCAAACACAGCCGGAAACCAGCCCTTGCAAAACCGGTGCAACCAGCATTGATCAATGTCACGTGTTTGCTCATAACAGACCAATGTGCCAATGGTCACCGTCATGAAATAACGATCACTACAAACCAAACAAAACATCGCCTAAGCAGACACCAAACAAACCAAGCAAACAAAAGCAAGCACAAACCAAACCAAATATCTGCGAGGCCTCCCTCTAATCCATCCTGTCAATCTGTTCAGCCTTAAGGGATGGCACAACGGAATGCAATCCATTGTCTCTCAAATATGCATGATCCAGCCACGCAAAATAACAAGGAATCAATTTGGGATCCCCTTTGAGCAGCCAGCTTTTAGTCAGCTGGCGGCGCACTCTTAAGCTTGAACATCATCCGATCTCTTATTGGCACGTTTGCCGCCCGAAAGATTGGGTGAAAGCCCGAATTTGAACCGACAGAAGGGCTCCAAAAAAGGAACCTTCACGAATGTTGCTGGAGCCCCATAGCACGGTTTCAACAGTTCGTTCGGAACATTGTGGAGTAAATCATGCTGGATGGGTACTGGGAAGCCCAAAGGAGCCAGCATGAAGGTCTGTGAGGCGACCGTGCGTGCAAAAGGGGGTTGCCCGAGCGTGCGTGCAAAAGGGGGTTGCCCGAAGTGATTCCAGAAGCCTTCCACACCTTCTGACCACCTTGGAACACATAGTGGGACCAGCCTCCTTGAAAACGCTTCTACACTAACAGGGGGCTGCTTCTTTACTCCACCAATGGATAAGACAAACTGTGGAACCTTTTGCCTCGCGCGGATCAACATCTGTGCGATGTCCTGCTGTGTGGCTCGTGCGCGGCGTACGCGCCTACGCTCGTGCACGCGCGGATGTCGCACTCACGCCAAAGGCACATCAAGGCACCTTAATTACAGAAGGTACCCGCATTCCAAGTTTGCCAGAACTTTCAAATCGACCTGCCACGCGGCGTTGGCTGCGAGATAATGCGCGACATGAACAGAGTTGCAAGAGCTTTGCGGAGAAATGGAACCTTTGAGCCTTTGAGTACGGAGAAACCCCTCTTCCCGTCAAATTGCCGCACCTTAGTGCCTCCACTGCTGGCACTTGCATGTTGCATCCTGTTGACTGCCGTGCAACTTTTCCCAATGAGATTGTCAAACGCTTGAGTGGTGCTTGAAAACGAGGTTTGGATATCCTCCTAGCGCTCCTTCGCAGAGCTTTCGCACGTGCGCGTGTTTGTCTTGCGGCGGCTTGTTTTTGCAACAACCCTTCAGGCTTTTCAGTGCACTTGTGTACCTGGCAGCTCCAGCTTGAAAATCGCAATTTTGCAGAACAAACGTATCGTGCCAAGTGCACTTTGGCAGCTCCAGCTCAAAACGCGCAGATTTCAGTACAACAAAAGTGTGTGAAAGAGGCCACCCAAAGGCAATCTAAACACACCAATAGAACCTTCGCAGATCGGTCGCGGACGGACTTTCGTGAAATACTT